AAATTAAAAAAAATAAAAAAAAAAAACAAATGGTGCTGGGAAAACTAGATATCCACATGCAAAAGAATTAAGAAATTTTCATCTTATACCCATACAAAAATAACTCAAGATGAACTAGCAACCTAAATGAAACTATAAAACTCCTAGAAGAAAATGTAGGGGAAAGCCTTATGACACTAGAACACAAATGATTTCTTGGAAATGACATCACAGGCACAGGCAACAAAAGCAAAAATAGACAAATAGAACTACATCAAACTTAAACACGTCTGCACTGTGGGACGAAATAATCAAAAAGGGAGAAAATACTGCAAGCCATTATCAGATAAGGAGTTAATATCCAGAATAAAGAACTACAACTTAACAACAACAAAATAACAACTTAAAAAAGGGCAAAGGACTGGAATAGACATTTCTCCAAAGAAGATATACAAATGACCAACACGCATATGAAAAACTTAACTGATCATCGGGGATATGCAAAGTAAAACCACAGTGAGATTATCAAAACCATTAGAATGGCTAATATTAAAACAACAATAACAGAAAATAACAAGAATTGGCAAGGATGCGGAGAGATTAAAAACTCTTGCACACAGTTGGTGGGCATGTAAAATGATGCAGCCACTATATAGAAAAGTATAAAGTTTGCTCAGAAAATTAAAAACAGAACTACCATATGATCCAGCAAGTTCATTTCTGGTATATATCCAAAAGAATTAAAAGCAAGATCTCAAAGAGAGATTTGCAAACCCATCTTCACTGCAGCATTATTCACAATGGCCAAGATGTGGAAGCAACCTACTCATCAATGATAAATCAATAAATAAAATGTTATACATAACACCTCAAGAAGGGAGGTGGGTGTGGGGATGGGTTAAATAGGTGATGGGGATTAAGGAGTATACTTGTTGTGATAAACACCAAGTGATGTATGGAAGTGTTGAATCACTATATTGTACACCTGAAACTAATATTACATTGTATGTTAACTAACTAGAATGTAAATAAAAAGTTTTTTTTAAGAATGCCAATATTCACAACATAGAAAAAAAGAAGGTAATCCTGACAAATACTACAACATGGATGAACCTTGAGGACATTATGCTAAGTGAAATAAGCCAATTACAAAAAGACAAATACTACATGATTCCACTTATATGAGGTCTCTAAAGTAATCCAATTCATAGAAACAGAAAGCAGAATGATTGCCAAGGCTGGAGAGATGGGGAAATGGGGAGCTGCTTCTCAATGGGTACAGAGTTTCATTCATTCAAGATGAAAAAGTTCTAGAGATCTGTTGTACAACAATATGCATAGAGTCAACAATACTGTTTTATACACTTATAAGAGGGTAAATTTATGTTATGTATTTTTTGCCACAATAAAAAAAAGGAAATGAGGCAATAATGAAAGGAGCCAACACCCTGCTATATATAATGCTGCATGCTGCCACATGAGTCTTCAAGGAATAAGAGAAGCTAAACGAACGAACCATAATAGCATCCTTCTAATTACCTACAGAAAAGAGTAGGTTTAACTTAATTCAAGTGTCTTGAATCTGAGACAGAGAGCTTTCTCAGATGCACAAACAAAAAATTAACATTTTCAGATAAATTATACTACATTTTTATCTGTTTTTAAACATTTTATCAGATATTTGGACTTGAAGAGTCTTCTTGGTATCCAGATAAAAGCTTTATTTCTATATACCAGAATAAATTGAATCCAATATAGAGAAACCCATCAGCACCTAAAATGTTTTTGGTATTAGCCAACAGGACAATAGCCAAATCATCTTCCTATCTATCTTCAACATTGGGAACCTTAAGAAGGCATCTAGGTAACTCCACACCTGCCAGAATGTCTCTTAATCAATTCAAGATTGAAACCCACTTAAAAATTCTATGTTCAAGATTTATTTTCAGTTTGTGAGGATTAAAATGACATGCCCACAACCTGATTATAAGACATAGTTGTGTTATATATCTACAATTAAGTATACAAGCACTCTATCTTCTTAATAGACACACACACACACACACACACACACACACTCCCAATATTCACCTATTTTCATATGCTTAGAAGTGAAATAATAATGTTATGAAATCTTCAGAGTTTTTGTTTTTTAATGTCAAAACTAGCATTATAGGGCACCTGGATGGCTCAGTCGTTTGAGCATCTGACTTCAGCTCAGGTTATGATCTCACGGTCTGTGAGTTCAAGCACATCAGGCTCTGTGCTGACAGCTCAGAGCCTGGAGCCTGTTTCAGATTCTGTGTCTCCCTCTCTCTCTGCCCCTCCCCGGCTCATGCTGTGTATGTTTATGTCTCAAAAATAAACATTAAAAAAAATTTAAGAACTAACTTTCCATAATTTCTGATAAGTACATATAGTAAAGTGAAGTAACACCAGAGAATTGCCCTCCTCATTATCTATCTTTAAAAAAAAAAACCAGTTTTAAAACATAGCAAAACAAAACTAATAAGCAGAAACTTTAAGAATGGGACAGGACTTCAAGCCAGAATGTGGTAGTCAAAAAAGGAAATGCATATTTTTAGTAAAACTTGGGATTAGTTCTAGTCCTGCCTCAAAGAGCAAAAGTAGTACTGGTGAGTAGACAAAATCACGAGAATTCTTAGTAATATTTCTGCATTGGGTAAGAAGGAAAGGAGTCTAGAGAGAACAGAGGCTTGTGAAGAACTGAACATGAGCTGGTGTCTTTCTCAGGGTTCTATGCTGAAATGGAAGATAAAACAAATTCAGGGGATATTCTCTCCAAGCAAGTAAGAAATATGCCCCCTCTGCCATGTGAAAGGAAAAGGAAAAAGATTTATATACTGCTTTAAAAAAAAATATTTGAAGGCAAAATCCAACCAAACAAAAACTGACTCAAAATAAACTCTGGAATGAAGCCAGTAAAACTGGGGCTGATAAACTCTGAATCTATTTAAATGTAGAAGAAAAGCTTTTATAAGAGGAGGGAATTATAGTTACAAAATAAAATACAAGTATTACAAACCTTAATAATTAAAAATAACATAAAACTAACAAAAATCAGAGGGGTAAGAGGAGGGCCGCCTGGGTGGCTCAGTCGGTTAAGTGTCTGACTTGGGCTCAGATCATGATCTCACAGTTCGTGGCTTCAAGCCCCACGTGGGGCTCTGTGCTGACACCTCAGATCCTGAAGCCTGCTTCAGATTCTGTGTCTCCCTCTCTCTCTGCCCCTCCCCCACTGGCACTCTGTCTCTCTCTTAAAAATAAATAAACATTAAAAAAATGAAAGAAGGGTAAGAGGAGCTAAGATGGAAATAAATATATTAACTTGATTTTCTCATTTTTCACAGCAAAAAGTAGATCAATTCTATCTAAAATGAAAATGTGTGGGGCTCCTGGGTGGCGCAGTCGGTTAAGCGTCCGACTTCAGCCAGGTCACGATCTCGCGGTCCGGGAGTTCGAGCCCCGCATCAGGCTCTGGGCTGATGGCTCAGGGCCTGGAGCTTGTTTCCGATTCTGTGTCTCCCTCTCTCTCTGCCCCTCCCCCGTTCATGCTGTGTCTCTCTCTGTCCCAAAAATAAATAAACATTGAAAAAAAAATTTTTTTTTAAATAAAATAAAATGAAAATGTGTAGTTTTTTTAAAAAAATAATTAATTTCTTAATGTTTTTCATAATCATTTTCTTTTTTTTTTTTTCAACGTTTATTTATTTATTTGGGACAGAGAGAGAGACAGAGCATGAACGGGGGAGGGGCAGAGAGAGAGGGAGACACAGAATCGGAAACAAGCTCCAGGCCCTGAGCCATCAGCCCAGAGCCTGACGCGGGGCTCGAACTCCCGGACCGCGAGATCATGACCTGGCTGAAGTCGGACGCTTAACCGACTGCGCCACCCAGGCGCCCCTTCATAATCATTTTCAACATTCAAAACATTTCCTAAAGAGCCCACAAATGAACAAATGATATATCAAAATTTCCGTAATCCTTCTTTTCACATCACCTTCTTTTTCCTCTGCTGAATTCAAGTAAGAATATAAATTTCTTACTATAAAGTAGCACATACAATAGGATGTGTCTATTAATCCACACACCCACAGACACTGTATGTATCTATATGGGTACAGACTGGTGTGATGGTCATCTGACATCTAATATTTCTGAGTTCCAGGATTAGATGGCTTAAAAATTTTTTTTCTTTATATTTTGCCACACTGTTTGGATTATTTATAATACACATGCATCATTTTTATTTACAAAGGAAGTACTCAGTAAGAAGGCCTACTGAGGTTTTGTGCATGCTCAGGACAATCCTTCAAACTTTCAGAGAGAAAGGTCTGATGATCACCATCTCTATAAATTCTTCCCAGCTAGCACTAAGGAAAGTGGGGCACCAGAAATGCTATAGTCCAATATTTACCAACTTTTAAAGTAGCCATCAAAACATTCACAAAAGAAGTCTTTCCTAACCATGATATGATCTTTGTGATCTTGGAGTGGTTGCAGCTCATTATAACTACCACAGAGGGGGGCCTGGATGGCTCAATCACTTAAGCTGCTCACTCTTGATTTCGGCTCAGGTCCTGATCTAGATTCATGAGTTCGAGCCCCACATCTGGCTCCACACGATCTTCTTGGGATTCTCTCTCCCCCTCTCTCTCTGCCCCTCCCCTGCTCATGTTCTCTCTCTCTCTCTGAAATAAATTAAAAAAAAAAAAAAGAAATATTTATTTAAAAAAAAAACTACCACAGAATATTTCCACTTACACGAAGCTATATTTGGATTTCAATGCAACAATACTTCCAGGCATTAAAATATAATTTCATGAATATTATTCTATTCTACCTTTAATAAGTAGTTACTCATAAATCACCCTCAATGAGTATGTCCAAGGAAATGGGAAAAGATAGAGCACATTTAAATAAAATTTAGCATATCTATGGATGAAAACTTAATAAATTTTATGTATGAATTATCTAATATATTAAAGTAAGAAACATACCAGCAGAGGTGCTTCCATTGTCTTAATAAATCGATGAATGTTTAGTGTAGCCAGTGGCTGTTCCATCAGTGTTCTTCTACATTGCTGGGTCAAATCCAAGACTTGTTTACAATGAAAAAAGTAGAAATGTGCATTTTCTATGGCCTCAGTGCTGCAAATTAAAAATTAGGGACACAAGACAACACATGAAGAAGTTCAACGTATGATCTTTCTACCATCCAGAAAGACATAGTTCCAATTATCTTTGCCTTTAAGTCTCATGCTATTGAATTACCTTTTTAGTAAAAATGTAAAACAGTAAAACAAAATAAAATGGACCTAAGCGAAAAAGAAGGTACAGTTTTTGAGTTGTATAAGCAACTTTTTTCCCTGAGCTCTTTAATACGGTAGTTTCTAAATTAGATTACAGGCAGGTCTACACAATTTTTTTTTTTTTTAATAAAAGACTGTCACCTTGAGGACAAGGAGATTATCTTCAAATGTAGTTGCTTTTCTAGAACTATGCTAAATAAAGCCTTGTAACACAAATTTTCTAGGTTTAATTTAAACTCAAATCTGTTTTGAATAAACTTCAGCCAAAACATGCCTTAAGATAGAAACCATGTGACAGTTTGTGGGAGTTTGTGAGTTTGTATCTGAAATATTACAAAACTCAGCAAATATGGCTTATAATTTGAGTACTGGCATCCTGTCAATATGACAATTCAAAGGTAAACTTATAGTGGGTAAGTAAGGTTTGCCAAAATTAAAATAACATTTTAAAAATCTCCATATGGCATTAGTAGGGTTTGGTAAAAACTGTAAATTTTTATTTTTAAAATGTTATTTCAATTCTTGATACATGCTTAAACTGAGATCTGAGGTTCACTGATTTCAAATTTAATGATAAACCAATTTCTAATAGATTTACTGATTAAAGAAATGATCACTCAAGGATTACTTAATGTGTACTAAATACAAAAGACTCAGATGAATAAGATAATTCAAATACTTGAGGGGCTTAGAATAAAGTGAATACATTTAGTTTCTTTAATGTAGTTTATAAGTGCTATAACATGCAAAGTGCTATGAGAAACAGAAATATTTCATTCTGCTTCAAGTCAGGGAGAAGAAAGAAAGGGAGAGGAAGATCACAGAGATTAAAAACAGTAAAGAAAAGAATGACTTCTCCAAGAAGATAAGACAAATGGGTACTTTAGACAAAGGAAATATATAGCCAGGACCCAATCAAAGTATGTAATTTTTTAAGGAGAACCCTAAATATACTGAAAGTAAAGTGCTGAAAGCAGGAGGACCCAGCTGAGGTTGGACCTCATATCATAATCTCTGAAATAATAAAATAATACTGGAAAATTACTGAATCAGAGATCATGGGTTGTAGGTAACCAAAAAGGTGGGGGGGGGGGGGTACTTATTGGAAGTGTAGAAGTATATACTACAGGATACAAGGAAAATTCAAGTAAGTGGATCAGAGAATGAACGTATAAATCTGAATAGCAAGAGTTTAAGGGACCTTCATTTTGCCACTAATACCTTTCAGCTCCCAACTCTCTCTATAATGACAACTCTCTCGGGGAGCCTAGGTGGCTCAGTCAGTTAAGCACCGACTTTGGCTCAAGTCATGATCTCACGGTTCATGAGTTTGAGCCCTGCATCAGGCTCTGTGCTGACAGCTCACAGCCTGGAGCCTGTTTCGGATTCTGTCTCTCTCTCTCTCTCTCTCTCTCTGCTCCTCCCCTGCTCATGCTCTTCCTCTCTCTCCTTCCAAAATAAACATTAAAATATATATATATATGTGTGTGTGTATACACACACACACACACACACACACACATATGACAATTCTCTCTGGTTTACTTCTACATGGGCAAAAAATTCCTATAAGCAAGAGAGCCAAAACACTGTATAGTTTAGTTTCTCCATGCTCAATTCCAAGTTCCTGAGAGGGGACCTAATTTGCTCAGATAAGCCAGTGGGCTGGCTGACCATGGATCAGATGGCCATCTCTGATTTAACTGACAGTGATAAATGGGGTGAGGGTGTAACATGTTTCTTGGTCTATACACAGATTCTTAAAGAAGGGAGTACGGGGAAGTAACAGAAACCCCTGGTGTTCCTATGGTATCTACCTCTTATACTACCTATCATGTACACCTCCCTTAACCAACATATAATTTCAAACAAATTCAGGCGCAATGTGCTATAACAACTAATATACTAGACTTATCCAGTGTTACAGCCCCAGCAACTAGCATAGTGCCTACCACACAGAAGGCATTAATAAATATTTGTTGAGTAAAAGAATGAACAAAGGAAAAAATGCATTCACCTCTCCTCTACTAAGAGACAACCCAAAGTCATGGCCAACTTCTTCATCTAGAAGTCATGCCATATGACTACTGTACTCTGAATCCACAGTACCTTCCTGTCATATCAGGTCTAGGTATGATCACTCACCATTTTGCTATCCATGAAAAAATGAGTATTCAAACATCTCCAATGCATCATACACTCAAAAGTATACAAAAGAAAAAAAAAGAATAACTGGATATCTTAAAATTATCATTTTAAAAATAAGGGAAAGCAAAAACCCCTCCAGAACATTACCATGTTTAGCCATAGATCAGAAAATATACTATGTATATAGTATATCTTGCTGAACAGAATTTGTAAGATAAAATGACAGAACCTATATACATAATAAATAAATAACTTAATTTAAATTGCTAATAAACACCCCTCTATGTTTTAGGCATGTCACCTTTATTTACAACTATAAAGTTGAAAATAATAAATAAAGAAGCTAGTGACACACACAAAAAAGTATAAACAATTAACCCTCAGAAAAACTGTGGAGCTAGGATAGAACCGCCATGAGATGAGAATAAGAAGGCTTCCCCCAGTCTACACTGGGAGTAGCAAACCAGCTGCTCATTGTTATCTCAAGACTCCATGACTTAGGGCAAAGCTCTGTGGTACCGTCAACACAAGTCTCAAATTGCTAAAAATATTAATTTTTATACAAACAGTAAACATGCATCAGAGTTTTATTTAACTCGTTAATAAGGGAACCAGCAGAATGACAGTTCACGAACAGATAATGTAAAAAGGAATACGAGCTAACTTTGTACAGAGTGGTAAAAACAGAACTTCTCTTCTCAGGAACTTAATTCTCTGCCTACCCACTCCTCTCAAAAAACCATTTCACTTAATCTGCTTTCTATGCTCTAACCTCTAAATTTACAAAGTTGTAAAATGTCTGGGGTTTAATTGTGTATAATATATCAAACAGTCACTGTTTTCTGAGAGGTTAGCAAGAGGGCTCATTAAAAACTCTTGCATGGTGTAAGTCACAGAATCACCATTTTGCTTGGCTTTGGGTTAATTTTCCTGACAAGCATTTTAAAGCCACATCTTTAAAATACATGGCTATTCCTTGTATCTGTAAGTACTAAAGAAAAGAAAAACTTCAACCCTAGGTTGCCCAGGCAAAAAGTCAAAAGAAGGTCTCAACCTAAAATTGTAAGCTAGAAACTAGACATGAAAAATAAACATTTAAAACGTTCTGCTCAAAAACGGTACTTAAATATATTTAAGACTATTCTGACAAAATAACTTACAGAACTCTCAGAAAGAACTTCTGGAGCTTAGTTATGAAAGCTGTTATTTTATCACCTATCTGATCACTGTGGGAGATGTAATCCTAAAATACACTTGGCCACTCATGGGATCACATCTTGTGGCTTATCCATTTTGACTTTGTTCACCTTAGCCTAATATCACCTCTGTATATTTAAAATCATTTTCAGACTGTAGAACAGCAGACAATAGTAATGAAGGGGATTTCTGGTTTCATTTATATATTCACATCTGCTTACAATTCCTTTCGGGTAAGTCCACAATGTGAGTCTGATGGAGATGTTGAGTAAGTAATGTAAAAGAAGCAAACTTAAAATTGTTCACATATGCCTCTTGTACTTACCCAATACTTTCCAAAAGGGCAATTTCCGTGGTCAGGACAAACTGGTATGTGGTCCCATACACAAAAGCAGCTTCCATGACCGCTCTATGCTCTGAAGAAGAGATAAGGGAGTTGGGAGACATGAAGAGCCAGTTTGTGTGACTCTCTTCTGAATATTGCCCTACAGCCTTTTAGGCTCTATTATAAAGAAAAATCCCTTGTAGAGATCCCAGTTGGGAAAATGCAGGCAGTTAAAGCAGTTATGAAAAGTCTATTCTATTCAAGGAAAGAGAAGAGTTAAGAGGGAATAAAAGTGAGTTATACTTGAGAATATAACATATGACAAATCTGTACAGTTTCTTCCTTGTAGTGGGGGAGAGACTATGCATCTACCATCCGACTTTTATATATTTTAGATGTGTATATGCCTGCTTATTGTTTCTGGCTTGGTTATCTTTTAATCAAACTTATTCTTATATATAGCTCAAAAAGAAACAATTCCACAAAGCATATAAAGAAAAACAATAATTTCTCCCCATTTTCAATTCCCAAGAGACACCTGCTTTCAATTCTCTGTTTCTTTTGGTATTTACCTCCAAGTCTTTAAATGACATTCTCACACTCTTATTTCCTGATTTTTTTTTAAGTGTTATTGCTATTACCTATTGACTTCCCACTTTAGCAGATGACAAATTAGCTCTTTCCCAAAACCTCGCTTCACAAACATACATATTTCTATCCCCTCGATAATCCCAATATAGTTCTAATTTTTATTAGCTCAAATATCAGTATTTACATGGTTGTAACTCAGCAAATATTATTTACAAGTGAGACATAGGGTGTAAAATGAACATTTCTCTTTTCTTGAACAACTACCTTTTCCACTGGCTATAACTTTTTAATTTCTACTTAAATTTCTTTCTAAATTCTTCCACAACTGGCTAATGCTCTCAATACTCCAAACAGATCTGGCACACTATTGGCCTCCTCATCCTGGAGACATTTCTGCACAGCCTTCTGGTTTGCTGCAATGTAGACTACTGCAACTTGATGTGCTGCATGGCTTTCATCCTGGGAACTCACTTCGTCATCATCCTAGGAATTCTCTTACTCTTTCTCTTGTGTTGGGTCCTTTGGCCTGTTACCCATATCTTCTTTCTTTTTTTTAAATATGATTTATTGCCAAATTGGCTAACATACAGTGTGTACAGTGTGCTCTTGGTTTTGGGGGCAGATTCCCATGGCTCACCGCCTACATGCAACACCCACTGCTCATCCCAAGTGCCCTCCTCAATGCCCATCACCCATTTCCCCCTCCCCCGCCCCCCATCAACCTCCAGTTTGTTCTCTATATTTCAGAGTCTCTTATGATTTGCCTCCCTCCCTCTCTGTTTATAACTATTTTTTCCTCTTCCCTTCCCCCATGGTCTTCTGTTAAGTTTCTCAATTCCACATATGAGTGAAAACATATGTTTCTCTTTCTTTGACTTATTTCACTTAGCATAATACCTTCCAGTTCCATCCACGTTGCTGCAAATGGCCAGACTTCATTCTTTCTCATTGCCAAGTAGTATTCCATTGCGTGTGTGTGTGTGTGTATGTATGTATATGTATGTATGTATGTATGTATGTATGTATGTGTGTGTGTGTGTATATATATATATATATATATATATATATATATATATATATATCTCACATCTTCTTTATCCATTCATCAGTTGATGGACATTTGGGCTCTTTCCATAATTTGGCTATGGTTGAAAGTGCTGCTATAAATACTGGGGTACATGTGCCCCTATGAATCAGCACTCCTGTATCCTTTGGATAAATTCCTAGTAGTGCTATTCCTGGTCATAGGGTAGTTCTATTTTTAATTTTTTGAGGAACCTCCATACTGTTTTCCAGATTGGCTGCACCAGTTTGCATTCCCACCAACAGTGCAAGAGGGTTCCCGTTTCTCCACATCCTCGCCAGCGTCTGTTGTTTCCTGAGTTGTTAATTTTAACCACTCTGACCAGTGTGAGCTGGTTATCTCAGTGGGGTTTTGATTTGTATTTCCCTAACGATGAGTGAGGTTGAGCATCTTTTCATGTGCCTGTTGGCCATCTGGATATCTTCTTTGGAAAAGTGTGTCTATTCATGTCTTCTGCCCATTTCTTCACTGAATTATTTGTTTTTCAGGTGCTGAGTTTGGTTAAGTTCTTTATAGATTTTTTTATACTAACCCTTTATATGATATGTCATTTGCAAATATCTTTTCCCATTCCATCTGTTGCCTTTTAGTTTTGTTGACTGTTTCCTTTGCAGTGCAGAAGTTTATCTTGATGAGGTCCCAGTAGTTCATTTTTCCTTTCAATTCCCTTGCCTTTGGAGATGTATCGAGTAAGAAATTGCTGCGGCTGAGATCAAAGAGGTTGTTGCCTGCTTTCTCCTCTGGGGTTTGATGGTTTCCTGTCTCACATTTAGGTCCTTCATCCATTTTGAGTTTATTTTTGTGTATGGTGTAAGAAAGTGGTACAGTTTCATTCTTCTGCATGTTGCTGTCCAGTTCTCCCAGCACCATTTACTAAAGTGACTGTCTTTTTTCCATTGGATACTCTTTCCTGCTTTGTCAAAGATTAGCTGGCCATACATTTATGGATCCATTTCTAGGTTCTCTATTCTATTCCATTGATCTATGGGTCTGTTTTTGTGCCAATACCATACTGTCTTGATGATTACAGCTTGGTAGTAGAGGCTAAAGTCCAGGATTGTGATGCCTCCCGCTTTGGTTTTCTTTTTTTCAAGATTACTTTGGCTATTTGGGGTCTTTTGTGGTTCCATACAAATTTTAGGATTGTTTGTTCTAGCTTTGAGAAGGCTGCTGGTGCAATTTTGATTGGGATTGCACTGAATGTCTATATTGCTTTGGGTAGTACTTACATTTTAACAATACTTATCCTTCCAATCCATGAGCATGGAATGTTTTTTCATTTCTTTGTGTCTTCTTCAATTTCCTTCATAAGCTTTCTATAGTTTCCAGCACATAGATCTTTAAATCTTTGGTTATGTTTATTCCTAGGTATGTTATGGTTCTTGGTGCAATTGTCAATGGGCCAGTTTATTTCCCTTTCTGTTGCTTCATTATTGGTGCATAGAAATGCAACCGATTTCTGTACATTGATTTTGTACCCTGCAACTTTGCTGAATTCATGTATCAGTTCTAGCAGTCTGACGGTGGAGTCTTTCAGGTTTTCAGGTAATCATGTTGTCTGCGAAAAGTGAAAGTTTGACTTCTCTGCCGATTTTGAGGTCTTTTATTTCATTTTGTTGTCTGATTGCTGATGCTAGGACATCCAACACTATGTTAAACAACAGTGGTGAGAGTGATATCCCTGTCATGTTCCTGATCTCAGAGGGAAAGCTCTCAGTTTTTCCCCATTGAGGATGATACTAGCTGTGGGCTTTTCACATATGTCTTCTATGATGTTTAGGTATGTTCCTTCTATCCCGACTTTCTTGAGGGTTTTTATTAAGAAACGATGCTGTATTTTGTCAAATACTTACTCTGCATCTATTGACAGGATCACATGGTTCTTACCCTTTCTTTTATTAATGTGATGTATCACATTGATTTGCAAATATTGAACCAGCCCTGCAGCCCAGGAATGAATCCCACTTGATCATGGTGAATAATTCTTTTTATATGCTGTTGAATTCAACTTGCTAGTATCTTGTTGAGAATTTTTGCATCCATGCTCGTCAGGGATATTGGCCTGTAATTCTCCTTTTTAGTGGGGTCTCTGTCTCATTTGGGAATCAAGGTAATGCTGGCTTCATAGAATGAGCCTGGAAGCTTTCCTTCCATTTCTATTTTTTTGGAACAGATTGAGAAGAATAGGTATTAACTTTGCTTTAAATGTCTGGTAGAATTACCCCTGGGAAGCCATCTGTCCCGGGACTCTGGGAGACTTTTGATAACTGATTCAATTTCTTCACTAGTTATGGGTCTGTTACCCACATCTTCTTAACTGTTTTGCTCCCTTGCTCCCATTCTCTACCACCTTCCTGTGAGAGGATATAGGAAATACACGTTTTGCGAACTTACACTTCTGAAAGTGTCCTTATTCTATACTGTAACTAACTGTAGTTGTCTGAATATTGAATTCTAGGTTCAAGTAATTTCCCCTAAGAATTTCGATAGCATTGCTCCATTTTCTTCAGTTTCTAGGGCTGCAACTAAGAGGACAAATGCCATTCTGATGCTTAATCCTTTAAATGTATACACTCTTTCATTATTTCTGGAACATTTTAGAACAGTGTTAGTTCCCAATATTCTGAAACTGCATAATAAGATGCTTTGGTGTGGCAAAGCATTCATCCATTCATCCATTACGCTGGGATTCAGTGAGCCCTTTCAGTTTGGAAGCTCAAATTCTTCAGTTCTGGGAAATATTTTCAAAGTATTTATTTGAAATATTTCTTCCTTTTCATTTCATTTTCCCTTTTTTCCTCACTGCCATTTCCAGGCAGTCATCTTCTTCTTCCCCGTGGATCTTCTACCATTTGAGTCAATTATCATCAGAGTATTCCCCTCACCATTCTGCCTTTGAGTGGTAGATGACCACCCCAGCCAGAGACAACTCCCCTCATTACACACACACACACACACACACACACACACACACACACACAAAATTGGCTTCTGTCACACTGTTACTCTCTCCAATACTACTCCCATTCTAATCCTTTGTGATTTTATTATCCCCATAGATGATCCTTGCAAAATCCTAGCCTCTCAGTCTTTGGTCTTCTCTAGACACTTCAGTGATCTCTCTTCAAATCTACCTTAACCACTCACTGCTATGATCCTACTCCAGGCCTTGTAATAACCCAATCACTGCAAACCCCTCCAAAATCTCAGTGTCTAGCATCCCCAGCACTACCTCTTCCCTCCATAAATACACACACCCCTCCATCTCAAAGTTACTCTGTCTAGTACATAATCCTCCAGGAACTACAGCCTTACCATTTTCACTGTCCTTCACTCCTTCAAGTCTTCTCTTCCCTCTTAACCCAGCTTACATTCCATGGTCAGTCTTTATATAATCACTCCCCTGCCTGTCTGGCTAAAACACAATCCAGGTTAAATCAGCCACTCTGCCTATTCTGTACTTACACCTATAAAAGTAAACATGGCTGGAGGGGGCAAAAACCAAAAAACCTGTAAGCATCACCATAATACTTATCTCACTTTAGATTACTGATATCAACTCTTATTGCTGCCTAGCAACCATTCTTTATTTTCAGGCCTTCTAAAACAACTATTTAATCTCTTCTCTCCTCAAGCTATCTGATGATTTTATTTCTAGTTCACTGAGAAAACACAGCCAATTAAAAAAGCAAAACCAAAGAAACTTCCATAAGCATTATATTTATCTACCCACTTAAAATTGAGGCCCATATTCTTTGTCTTCCCTCCTTTTACCACAGATGAATTTTCTGTGCTCCCAACAAAGAACCAACCCTCCCCTCATTCACTAGATTCAATCCCCTCTTGTCTACTCAGAGATGTTGCTTCAGTAATTCTCCCCACTTTTTCCTCCATGCTGTATTTACCCCTTCCTACTGGATCTTTCTTGTCAACATACAAATATGTTTCTTAAGAAATTCTTCACTTGACCCACATACTCTTCCAACCACTGCCCCATTTTTCGAGAAATTTCTCTAATGAGTCTCCATATTCACAGTCTCCAGTTGCTTTCTACCTATTCTCTTGTATCCCCATTAGGCATTTACCCTTAGCACTCTACAGAAACTTGTCAAGGTCACCAACAAATTCCATACTGCTAAGAATGGCCAATAGGCAGCTCTTATCTTAAGTAACCCTTCAGCATCATTGACACAACTGTTGCTATCTCTTCCTCAAGATCTTATCTTTGCTTACAGGGCATCTCTACTACACAGTCCATTCCTTCCCTTTACTGGTTCCTTCTCACTTCAGTGACCTGTAAATGTTGACAGATCTAAACAGTTCAGTCTTCTCTTTTCCATCTAGGATCATTTGCTTTGTGATCTCTTCTGGTCTCACAGCTTTATCTCCCAAATTTATAACCCTAGTGTATATCTTTACCATCAAATGCAGATTAGTAATATCCAGCTACCTTGCTGATATCTCTTCTTGGGCGTATAAAGGGTATTTCACAAGCATGATGTCCAAAAAGTCTAGAGCTTCCTCTCCAAACTATTTCCAATCTTCCCCACCTCAGTTATCAGCAATTTCACCTTTAAAGTAACTCAGGTTAAAACCCCAGAGCCACCCTTGTCTCTGCTATTTCTCCCTCACTCGGAATCTAATATGTCAGAAAATTCAGTTAGTCCTACATCCAAAATACTGCTAGAATTCAAATTTATTGCCACCTCCACTGCTCACACCCTGGTCCAAGCCACCCACCATCATCTTTCGCCTGCCTTATTGGAATAACTACCTAATTTTCCTTCCTTATTCTACTGTTGCTACTTCCAGTCTATTCCAAACATAGAAGTCAGATTGATCCTGTTAAAATATACATCAGGGAGTTCTGGTTCCACTGTAGCAATGTAAACCCTCTCTAGCTCATCCCTCTCACTGAGGACAAATAAAAACTATGAACAGTAACCTGAAAACCCTGAAATGTAAACAAAAACAGGCTGACTGTAGAGTATTATTTTACAAGTATATTAAATTCAGTGGCATGCTATGTAGCCATCAAGCTTTATGTTGATAAAAATTGTGATTTCCAGGGTGCCTGCGTGGCTTAGTCAGTAGAGCAGCTGACTTTGGCTCAGGTCATTATCTCACAGTTTGTGGGTTCGAGCGCCACATCAGGCTCTCTGCTGTTAGCGCAGAACCCACTTTGGATCCTCTGCTCCCCTCTCTCTGCCCCTCCCTCTTTCTCTCTCTCTCTCTCTCTCAAAAATAAACATTTTTTAAACAGTGATTTACAATAAATGATTTTATTTCCTAGAGCATATGTGATTTTTAAAATATCTTTAACATTTTATATTAACATGATCAAGTTACAACCATTAACAAATAAAAGTCCTGAAAGCATAACTATACTTTGTTCATGTTTATAAACTTCTTTACTACAAAATTATATATTAATGCTCAAGATGATGCTGTCAGAACTATACATTTTTTTTTTTAATCAGGAAAAAGTCATAAATGGTATATATTAAAAAAGAAAAGCATTTAGTCAACATTTATCAAATACTATAGACTACTATACCAGGTACCATGAGGACTATAAGGAAATAAAAATAGTAATTAACACTTCCAGAACACTACTATACGCCAGGAAATATTTTAATTATTTGAATTCATTTGGTCCTCACAATAACACTAAAAGGTAGGCACAAATTATTTTCACCATTTTACTGATTAAAAAGCCTAAAGTTACATTAAGTTGTCCAAGGTCATACTGTAAGTTGTCGGGACAGGGTATCTAACCTAGGCAATCTGGCTCCAGGGTTTTTTTCAACCACGATACTATGCTGCTTGTTTAAAGAAAGAAAACATACTAGTAAGGATGCCATTTTAAGTCCTTCAACATTCTCAGAGAAGTGTAGAGGCACAACAAAGATTAAAAGAAAAGCTCAATACCTGGTGTTCCGATGGCTCTTACATATGAGAATGCAATGTTTGCTTTTCCTTTCAGAGAATTTTCTATGTTCTGTAGGTCTTCCAGGGTGGTAATATATTTTACTTCATTAAAAAGAAGAGCACTGAAATAAACAGAGATGTAATTTGTAGAAAAATCTGATATATAGTTATCTAACATATATTTTGAGTAAGTTAAAGAACCTAATCAAAAAAAGAAACTTAAGTCTTTTGAACAAATTATCAGTAGTAAGAACCTAAGCATTTTAATACTGATTTAAAATCACTCTCTCAATCATTTGTCTGTCCCTATGAACATCAACCAGGAACAGTTGTGAGAAATGGTGCTCATTCTCCACCCAAACCACCTTAATATATTTAAGTTGTATTCACTAACATCCCACTCTGGTCAAAGAATCCCTTACAAATCTCTAAGCCTTGAACACATTTCAGCCCTTTACACATCTAAACTGAAAGTTTCTTTTCAGAGAGTATAAGGCTCTGCATGACCTACTTCTCCCAACTCTGTACTGTTTTACCATTCCTCAGGTCTACATACTTTTGGCACACCTGAGGGCCTTTGTACACACAATTCTTGTTGCTGAAGACTATTCCCTCTGCTCCTTCTCACATATCTGGTCTCAGTTTAAATATCATTGCCTCAAAGAAACCATCCCTGTTGGTGCTATGTAAGTAAGTCTGTAGCATTTTCTCTTTAATTTACATTATCTGATCCTTCCTAGTTCTTATCACAATTTATAATTGCTTATATATTTATTTACTTGCTTATCCCTGCCTTTCTTATTGAACTGTTTCCTTCTTTCATCAGGACCTTGCATATTTTATCACTATATCCACAATAACTTAGAATAGAACATAGTACACTAAGTAAACAATATTTGTTGAATGCATGAAAGAAAAAACAAGGTGGGAATTATTGATTCTCATTCATTTGAAGAAGTGCAAATCCAAAACAGAAAAAGAGCTTACTTACTCAAAAATACATTTATGGAATTGAGGAGCCAGGAACAGAACATAAAACCGGTCTCTTCATTCCTAATTCAATGATCTTTCCACTTGACCATAATTCTTCCAAATCATCTTTTCAGTGTATAGATCAGACTAATTAGTCACATTTCTTCACCCAAAAGAATTTCCTTTTTAAATTTTCCAGTTCTGTATAAATTATCCATAGCAACTCATTCCACTTAATCCCCGTGTGTGTGTGTGTGTCTGTGTGTGTGTGTGTGTGTGTGTGTCTGTGTGTGTCTGTGTGTGTGTGTATTTTTGTTAGGCTAAACTTAAAGAATTTTTTTAAATTGTCTCATGTTCATGTACTTAAATAAACTATTTCCAATAGATTAGTCAACCATGGTTTCTTCTTAAGGAAAACATGGTACTTTCTGCTTACACAACAGTTCTCAAACTTTTTGGTCTCGGGATACTTTTGTACCTTTAAAAATCACTGAGCCCCTCAAAGAGCTTTTGTTGATGTAGGTTATATCTATTTATAGTAATTAAATTATAAATTAAATAGAAGTTAAAATAGAAATTAAAACAGCAATTTAAAAATATTTGTTATTTATTGTAAAAATAATAAACACCACTGCATAGTAACACTTTATTTTAAAATAACTAAATTTTCCAAAACAAAAGAAAAAGTTGGTGATAAGAGTAGCATTGTTTTACATTTTTGCAAATCTCTTTAATATCTGGATTAACATAAGACAGCTGGATTCCCATATCTGCTTTTTCACTCAATCTGTTGTGACATCACACAGTATATCATACAGACTCTGAAAACTGAATTCATAAGAGAATGAAAATGAAAAAGGCAAATAATGTCTTAGTATTATTATAAAACTATTACTTTATGGGTACCCTGAAGTAAGTACCCTAAATTATACTGGCTTACATCTACATTATAGATTTCTTCAATTTTTTAAAAGAAATGTAAAACTTGATATTCTATAATTGCCAGGGCTGTTTTATTTTTTTTTAATTTTTACAGTTTTTTAAAGTTTATTTATTTATTTTGAGAGACAGAGAGAGAGTATGAGTGGGGGGAAGGGGCAGAGAGGGAGAATCCCAAGCAGGCTCCACACACTCAGTGCAGAGCCCCTGTGGGGCTCAAATTCACAAAACCGTGAGCCACCCAGGCTTCCCTCTTGTTTTGTTTTTAAAAGAAATATTTACAAGGCATTACTCACTATATGCTAGATATTTTCAAGTTTTCATTTAAATTTAAATCCTCAATGGCATTATTTAAATATTATTTATTACACACACACATACACACACATACACGCACACACATGAACACACACAAAAAACAGTTTGAGGGATTAAGTAACTTGTGGAGGTCATAGTGACAGTCACTGGTAGAGCTGAGATTCAAACTCAGGTCTTCTGGCACTAAGCCCAAACTGTGCTATTATTGACCACTCATAAATGGGAAACCAGGTGAAAAGGGAGCTATCTAATGAATAGTAAGGGAGTCTTGGTGGCAATTTGGGTTTTTTGCTGCTTATACATTTTAGCTAGCCTGTCCAGAATTACCTTTGAGACATTTCAGTCTGTGGGGAGGTGCCATCTAGTGAACTTAACTGAGCTAACATGGAAACTGTAAGCCCGGAAATTACATCTGCCCATTCACCTTTATTGCTCTAGCAACTCTAATCCATTTGCTTCAAAAACCGTATCTGGGAGTAGAAATCCCCCTAACCTTGCTTCTCAACAAAACTGGCAACTATAAATTAACAAAAGTCAACATTTGGGGGGCACCTACCACATGTCAGGCATAGTACTAAGCACTCCATGGTAATGGTAATTTTATCAGTTTGGGAACTGACCAGCTCTGAACTCCTCTCTTTTGCTTTGGGGATTTCCAGTTTTCTATGTATTCAAGTCCCTCCCACACACACACATCAAAAGTTAATGATGTCATAAACTTGCTCTTCTAGGCTTCCTGCTGCAAGGCATGGCCATAAGACCCAGGATCACTTACCTAACATTCTGGACCAGAAGCCAGTGATGTAAAGTATACGGGACACTATAGAATTATTTCAAGAGGCAACATAGCAACAGTCAGCTTTAAATGACAGGGGCGCCTGGGTGGCTCAGTCAGTTAAACATCTGAGTCTTGATTTTGGCTCAGGTCATGATCTCCCAGTTCCTGGGATCAAGCCCCACGTCAGGCACTGTGCTGATAGTGCAAAGCCTGCTCAGGATTCTCCCTCTCTCTCTGCCCCTCCCTGCTGGTGCTTTCTCTCTCCCGCTCAAAATTAATAAACCTTTTTTAAAAATGTTAAAAGCAGGAATGACAACAGTATCAATGACAGCCCCAGCACAGGTGACACAGGCTGTGGCATCTGACACTCAGCAGTAATGCGGCAGGTCATCCCCAGACTAGTTGTGTATCATGCTTTGACTATAATTTAGAGCCGTATTAAGTCTGAGTCCAGTTCTCCAGCCCTTCTAGTGAGCCTGAGATTTCCTATATCCACTCCAAATCCTTTTCTGCTTAAGCCAGTCAGACCCAGATTCAGAGGCTTATAACTAAAAACACTCAGAAATGCACTCAGTCTTGCTTAATTTTCATAGCAACCATCTGAGATCAGTACTATCATTAACTCCATTTTGCAGATAAGGTCATGGGGCTTAGAGAGGTTACCTTGCCTAATGTCCCAAAGCTCATTAAGTAGTCATTATCCATGAGATAATAATAACCAAAACTAATGACATTCATAATCTAATGATCTCCATGATTGTTTCCCAGTGGCTTCCTAACTTTAATAAGTTTTTAATGTTAATTTCCAGAATATGGGGACATCGAAGGATCTCTAGGATCCATGCATAAGCCTGTGCTCTTTCATTCAAGTCACAAAGAGGAGAAAACTGACAGAAATGGGTAAAAGGAAAAGTCTGTCTTGGCATTTCCTTGTTTAATGATGGGGTAAACCAGCCTGGGGTTGCTCTGACCTGGGCGCTCTCCCTGCTCTAGAAAGGCATTCCTTTTGCTTGGCATTCTTTTCCGGACACCCTCCTATCACAACCATTGGGTACATAAGATATATAACCCAGAACTGAATGGGTGTCAAAAAAAAAAAAAAAAAAAAAGAAAGAAAGAAAAAAAAAGAAACTGAAGAGTCTATTTGACCCTGCTTTTGGAGCAGCAGGCTTTCAGCCTTCTTTTTTGGAAAAAAAGACTATTTTTACATTATGTTTCTGTCATTACTCAGATTCTAAAACACCAGTAAAAAAGGGAATATTCTCTTCTATTTTCCCATACCAAAATCCCTGTGACAAAAAAAAATTTTTTTTTTTTTTAAAGAAAAGAGGGGCGCCTGGGTGCCTCAGTTGGTTAAGTATCTGACTCTCGATTTTGGCCCAGGTCATGATCCCCCGGTTCATGAGTTCCAGACCCGCATCAGACTCCCTGCTGACAGCGTGGAGTCTGCTTGTGATTCTCTCTCTCTCTCTCTCTCTCTCTCTGCCCCTTCAGTGCACACTTTCTGTCTCAAAATAAATGAACTTCTATAAAAAAAGAAAAAAGAAAAAAGAGAGGAGGAGGGGAAGGAGGGAAAACAACACAGGGAGAAGAACAAATTATACAACCTTCTAATCCTCATTTGAGATTATAGTGCCTTAATCTCCTATACCTCACTTGACCTCCCTCACACTGGTTAGATATATGATATTGTCAATCAACAAATAAATATTAGTTGCTACTTTAACTTTATTTTTCTAAATATTACCCCTTTTCATCCAAAAACTGGGAGTAAAATTTTCCTCATGTAATTATCAAACCACTGAATTCCACGAGATTTAACTATGTATATTTTAGAAACCATGGCTAAGAACTTCTAGAATATAAATCCCAATACTCATTCTTAATATAAGTTGTATTTATTTTGCAAATTGGTATCATTTTCCATATGGTTCAAAACACAAGGAACCAAAAAGTTAACAGTCTACCTACAACACCTTCCCCCAATCCCAGCTCCCCCATTCCATTCCTGTCAACCTGTATTATCAGTTTCCTGCGAACCTTCAGTATCTGTGCCATATACATATAAGCCATAAACATATATTTATATATGCCCCTTTTAGAAGACAATCCTCC